GAGGCAGACAGACCCAGGTTCCAACCCTGACTTTTCCTCTTCTAGTTTTGAGATTTCAGGCAAGTGTCTGACCTTTTCCAAGCTTTGGCTTTCATATTTGCATCTGTAAAGTGGAAAAAGTAAGAATCCCTTCTCTCCCAATGCTGTAATCAACTCCTGAGCCTGGCCTGATATGATGTAAGTGTCCCTACATATGCTAGTAATGTCCCATTGATTGTTAGTTGACAGGGATCAAGAGATCCGGGTCCCTGCATCTGTGGCTAGTTCTTAGGATGATTGGGCTTGTTCCCTGAAGCTTCAGTGGCTCCCTACTGCTTTCATAATTAAGTCCAAACTTCTAATCATTCCATCCCCAGCTAAATTTGTCTCCTGAGAATCAGCTGGAAAGGCTACCAGAAGCCAGATCACACAGGGCATGATAGACATTGTTATTTTTATCCTAACAACAAAGGAGGTTTTGGACACATGGCCTAATCAGAGACTAGGACAATCTGATTGTGAAGCCCATACAATTACTGGGGGAAGAATGGTTCCCAAGGGCTAAGAGCTTGGGGGTAAAGGACTTATTAAAGAAAAGTTTCTTGGAGTCGGGCATAGTGGTACACACCTGTAACCCTAGCACTCTGGGAAGCTGAGCTGGAGGATTACAAGTTTGAGCCCAATTTGGGAAACTTAGCAAGACCCTGTCTCAAAAACAAAAAATAATAAGAAAAGGGCTGAAGAGGTAGCTCAGTGCAAAGATCCTGGGTTCAATCCCTAGTACTGCAAAAAACAAGTGGGGTTCTTGGGGTGAGCACAACAAGTGCCAGAACAGCGTCGAGCTCATTCCAACTATGTGGCTCCATCCTGCTCCTAAGCATGACCTGGTCACCCAGTTCTCTTCTTTTACATGTACTTTCCTCCACTAGGCAAATTATATGGCTACTGAGCTTTGAGAAGATGACACTTGCACAGGATAAAAAGATTGAAAAGGTCCTAAAGGGACTGGTGAAAAAGACATCTTCCTCCCACCCTTGTCCTGACCACCCCTTTCCTCCCTAGCTAGAGGCAATCATTGTTACCCTTTTCACAGTGCCCTTCTATTGCCAGCCCCTACCCCATTAATGTGTATAGATACATGGGTGCACACACGTGCATCCATTCTCCCATGTGATTGTCATAGTTGCACACTTGGAAACCACCTCACATGAGGCCCAGACAGTCTGAGTCAGTCTTTTTAGTGGCTTCCTCACTCACTGTTGTATGCACTTTTATGCTCTTGCAAACCTTTGCTAACACAAGCAGTGCTATGGGGAGCCCCAGGACAAATTCTCTACAAGTGCATCTGCTGGGTCAGTAGTCTGGGTGTTTTTAATGTCAGTGAAGTTTTCCAGATCTAAAATAACAATGCCTCCTTCAAATGCACGTGTGCAAATGCAAATGCACACACGCACAGCCTCAGGGCTAAACCTCATTCCTCTGTGTCCCCATATTCCCTTGAGGTTCCCACTCTTGCCTCTTCCATTCTATGGCTGAATCTAAACTGCTGAGGTACCACAACCCATTCCCCAAACCAGTACTTGAATAGGCTTCTTCCGTGTACAGCTGAGGAGCCCACAACTCCTAGCACATAATGGTCATCAGCCTTTCTTGCCTGAAGCCATCCTGGCAATTATGAGTGGGAAGAAGGGCTCCCCATAAAGGTCAAGGGTCTTCTCAGTCGTGACTCTGGCCTAAGTCCCCTTGGTTAGAACCCCATGTGGTGCAGATGCTCTAGTGTTTGGAAAGTTTTGTCTTCACTTCTTATAGAATGAACATTACAAAGCTACTTGCTTTGGGGGCCCACTTAGACTGTTTCTTATGGGCTGATTCTAGGATCACTTTCTGATGCCCTCAGCACTGGGTCCCTGGCCAAGTAGATAAGAATGAGGAACTGCCTTCCAGAGACCCAGTGACGTCACCCTTTGTGGGGTCAAAGTTCCCATCCCCATCTCAAGTTTCTGCTGCTGTCCTCCCTATCAGCAATCTGCTTGTCTCTTGCTTTCACTCAGTTTCTCATTCCCATCTGGACAGATCACAACCCAAATATTACCTCCTCTGAAGGAAGCTCTCAGTGTCCCCTAGACTGCTCAGATCCCCCACTGTGTACTGTGTGGCTCTCTCTGCTCCCATCATATAACTCTCAGCACAGCTTTGATTAAACAAGAAATTCTACAGTGGCTTACTTGAGGTCCCCAGACCCAGCTGGTCCCACCCCTGCAACAGATGCTGCAAACTGTGTGTGTTGTGCTCTCTGCTGTGTCCCAGACCCCAGCACAGTGTCTGAACCTTCAAGACTCTAAGTAAATACATGCAGCATGGGTAAATGCTAGTTCCTGGCCTTGTGGCTTTGGTCAATGATAAAAATAACATTTGATGAGAACCTATCACATGCCAAGCACTGAGAATTTTGTTCCTCTATTTACTTTCATATCCACCCAGTGAACAAGGAGTAATTGTCATCCCCATTGATACCTTTGTCACCCAAGTTCACAAAGCTCTTCAAGTGATGATGCCAGAATCAGAACCCAGATCTATCCAATGTCAAAGCCTTGCTGTCAGACCGGGAGCTTCATTCACTTCTCAGAGCGTGTTTTACGGAATACAGCTAAGACCCCCAACTTCACAGGGTAGCGTTCCTGTCTGCAAGCTGCACAGACGCCTGAGCTATGCTTGCTCCTAGGAATGCTGTCCAAGGCCCTGAGAAGAGAGGCACACAGTAACTGACCAGCTTTTCTTCCACTCAGGTTTCAGTTGCTGGCAATGCCTACAAGGAAAGCCTCCCTGGCAGAAAGTGGAGGGGAGGTGCTGCTCTGTGTGAGTAAATTCTCCAGAAAGTGCCTCTTCCAGGGTAATTAAGACAAAGATCACAGAAGAGGAAGTAGTGAAATGTACAGCTGAATCATCTGTTGGCAGCCTGCAAGGTGGAGAAAAGTGGCTGAATGAGTTTTATGTCTTTTTCACATACACACACACGCAGAAGAGAGAGCAAATACAGGAGGTAGAGGAGACCATTGCTGAACTTGTGGACAGGCAGGCAAGATGCCATGTACATTGCAAATCTTTCATGAGCACTTGGAAATGCCCAATATAAAATGCTGAGGAAATAAGGAGGGAGGGAAGGTCTAAGGGACAGGGCAAAGGAAGAAAAGAAAGGAAATAAGAGATGGAAGGAGGGAGGGAAAGAGAGACAGAGGAGAAAGGGAGGGAAGAAAAAATTTTAATCAGAAATAGAGATTCTCAGAAAAAAATATCTTTTTGCTGCCCCCTCGAAAGTTAATTAAGTGTGGCAGCGAGACCCATGCTGTTTGGGCTATTTATGTAATAAAAAGATCTTCTAAAAATAGAACCCAGAGGCCCAGCTCACAAAGCCCATGGCTGAGCCAGCTGGCGCAGCAGAAGGTGATGGGGAGGCCTGATCCCGGCTCCGGCACAGTCGTTATGATTAAATGAGGCTTCTCATATTCAGGCTGCAAAACCACTCCAGGCAAGATGCTGCGAGAGACTCAATTTATGTTCCATGGAGATTAGCTTGCTTCTGAGAGGACTTCTGCTGTCGACTCGATTTGTGCATGCTCTCAGACCTCGGGAGATTGCCTGCCAACTGCTCTCTGAAAAATGAGGCGGAGCTTGTGTGAAAGCACCCAAGAATCAAGCAAGTCTTTAGTTTGTTTCTTACCAGATGGAAATACACAGTATCACCACTGGAAGGAAATGTTGGAGATTATCTGATGACCAGGGGCTCTGATTTAACCAGGAGGCCTGTTGTATGCTGATAAGTTATTGAAGTGATATTTTCAGGAAGGAGAGAGAGCAACAGGGAGCATGGAGGGAGGGAGGGGCAGAGGTACAGAGGGAGGGAGAAGGGAAGGAGGCAAAAGAATGATGGGCTAACCCAGTCTTCCCACAGATCCTTAGGAGGATCCAGTGAGTTCCACACCAGCATCCCTGTACTGGAACCACATGTGCTGCTAAATAAGACATGTGGAGTAAGAGCAGAGTTTGGTGATGCACACCTGTAATCCCAACCCTTTAGGAGGCTGAGACGGGAGGTTCACAAGTTTGAGCCCAGCCTGAGCAGCTAAGTAACTTAGTAAGGTCTTGTCTACAGATAGATGGATGGATAGACAGACAGATAGATAGATGTTTGGGAATACAGCTCAGTTCAAAGGCCTTGGGTTAAGACGCCGGTACCGCAAAAAAAAGTAAGATTTAGAGATGAGTTTTGAGCAAGGCTGGGGTTGATAAAAGATGGCAATAACAAGTGACTAAATCTTTGAACTAAATCTGGCCCTCTTCCTGGTTGTACAGCCCATGAGCTGAGAGCGGTTTTCATATATTTGAACCACTGGTGGGGGGAGATTTTGAAATTCATGAAAGTGACATGAAATTCACATTTCTATGTCCATAGTTCTGGAGCACATCCCCACTCACTGGATTGTGCACGGCCTGACACAGCTGATTTTTCACTACAGCGACTGAGTTGAGTGGTTGCAGCAGAGACTGTGCAGGATCCACGGGGAAAACATACACTACTGACCCCTCTTCTGAAAAAGTTTGCTGCCCTCTTGTAACAGCACTTTGTAAGAGCAAATAAATTGCATTTTTCTTGGCTCACTTATTCTATTCTTTATCAGATGTTTAGTGCCTGTCTGTAGGGTCAGGCACTGGGAACCATCAGGGAACAGATTCAGCTCCTGTTCTGGGGGAACCTAGTGCCTGTATCTACATCTGCCCCTTTTACAGTATAGATATCCCTAGCCCCTCCAACTGTTTCCCATAGGACACAGTGTTCCACCACCCTTGAAACGGTGTCCCTTCCCTCTCCCTGTGTGTATCCTGATTGCCTCAATCTCTCCAGAAGGAGAGGTCTCCGAGATGGCCCACACCACTTTCTCAGGAGGTAGAGGTCTGGAAGGAGTCACCTTGAGTCAGGCCATGCTCTTGGTCTAGTACTGAAGTTCTCACGTTTGCATTTTCAGCTCCTGGTTTCCAGTGGCCCCAGAGAGGAAGGTCTTATCGCCTAGATGAGAGCAGTAGCCAACTATGGAGGATAAGGCTGAGTCTATGAATGATCCCTCCCACATAAAAACAAAGCCACCTCCAAACACATGCCCCAGGGCCTCAGGCTCTCTGCAAAACCTAAAGAGTGGGGATCTACCCCAGCCCCAGGAGGAAGCTGACTTCTCAGGGGATTCACAGAGGCCTGATGTTTGAACCACCAATGTGGCTTCAAGGTCTTGCCTTTACCTCTTCGTTCCTACTGCTGCACCACACCTTTCAAGGGCCTGCTTGATTTATTTCTAGAAAAACAGCATTGGGTAAGTCATTGAAGCCTCCCCAAACTTGGACATTTTCTTTTGGATCCTGGAGCCCAGTGGTTAGAGCAGAAGAGAAGCAGCAAAGGGCCAGGGCAGGAGCAGAAGGGTCCCAGGATGGCGCTCAATGACACAGCCTCTTCCTTTTGCCTGGACTCTACTGTGTATAAGATCACCATCAGTGTGGTCCTCATAGTCCTCATCCTCATCACTGTCGCCGGCAATGTGGTTGTCTGCCTGGCTGTAGGCTTGAATCGCCGGCTCCGCAGTCTGACCAACTGCTTCATAGTGTCCTTGGCAGTCACAGACCTGCTCCTGGGCCTCCTGGTGCTGCCCTTCTCTGCCATCTACCAGCTGTCCTGCAAATGGAGCTTCAGCAAGGTCTTCTGCAATATCTACACCAGCCTGGACGTGATGCTCTGCACAGCCTCCATCCTCAACCTCTTCATGATCAGCCTCGACCGCTACTGCGCCGTCACCGACCCACTGAGGTACCCTGTGCTCATCACCCCAGTTCGGGTTGCTATCTCTCTAGTCTTCATCTGGGTCATTTCTATCACCTTGTCCTTCCTGTCTATACACCTGGGTTGGAATAGCAGGAATGAGACCAGCAAGGATAATGACACCATCCTCAAGTGCAAAGTCCAAGTCAACGAAGTGTATGGGTTGGTGGACGGACTGGTCACCTTCTACCTACCTCTGCTGATAATGTGCATCACATACTTTCGCATCTTTAAGATTGCTCGGGAGCAGGCCAAGAGAATCAATCACATTGGCTCCTGGAAGGCAGCCACCATCAGGGAGCACAAAGCCACAGTGACACTGGCTGCCGTGATGGGGGCCTTCATCATCTGCTGGTTTCCCTACTTCACCGTTTTTGTTTACCGTGGGCTGAAAGGGGATGACGCTGTCAATGAGGTGTTTGAAGCCATTGTTTTGTGGCTGGGCTATGCCAACTCAGCCTTGAACCCCATCCTGTATGCTGCCCTCAACAGAGACTTCCGCACCGCCTACCATCAGCTCTTCTGCTGCAGGCTCACCAGCCGCAACTCCCACGAGACTTCTCTAAGACTGAACAACTCTCAGCTGATCAGGAGCCAAAGCCAAGAGCCCAGGTGGCAGGAGGAGAAACCCTTGAACCTCCAGGTGTGGAGTGGGACAGAAGCCACATCCCCACAGGGAGCCACAAGCAGGTAACAGCCTAGCCATTTGTGTACCCGATGAGGGTAGGGGAAGACCTCTTGGGGGCGCTAGCAGTAGGCTGCATGTAGATGGTGTTGGTTTACATGCTGAGAATGCTCCATAACCACTTTGTGAACACAGTCTCATTTAATCCTCCAATGGCTCCCAAATTAGAACATTCTGCCTCTATTTTTAAAGGATCACCATAAAGGTCTAACTTGTCAAGGTCCACTCAGCTAGCACATGGACAGAGGACTCCCGACTCCAGACTCAGGAGCCCTTCTTTCTGGCCATGTTGTCCTTTCAATCAGAAGAGCTTTGAGGCTTGACTCTGCCACTTTGGAGTCGTGAGTGTTCAACTAAGCACTCCAGGACAGCACTCAAATAGCCAGGCACTAACCCTGCCTCCTGATGGGCCCATTGTAGGGGTAAATGAGAAACTTAGCTCCATTTATTGAGCACCTATTATGTATCAGCTCTTACTGTGGGAACATTCAGGTCAATGGGGAAAAAAGGACAGGAAGGTGGGCTTGGAAGCCAGGCAAGACTATAGGCACTGTACCAGACATAACAGGGAAAGATGGAAGGGTTAGAGCCCCTAAGCAGTGCTGTGGGTGCCTTGTTTGGTTTGGGTTGGTTTACTTTGGTTTAGGTTGGTTTGATACTGAAAATGGAATCCAGGGCCTCCTTTGTACATGCTAGGCAGGGACTCTGCCACTGAGCTATATCCCAGATTTGTGATATGGAAAAATAGCCCTGATGTGGAGGAACAGAGTGAGCCTGCAGACAGGGATATCAGCAAGGACAGTGTGACACTGGTCCACGAGAGGAGAAAGGGGAAGAAAGCAAAATTTAGTGGGCTATTTTTTTAATTACATTTTTGCAGACTATTGGATATGCAGAGTGAGAAGATACAAGAGGAAAGAACCTTCAGGATTCCTCTCCTGGATTAGTCCAGGCTGAAAAGATAAACAGAACCAGAATGAGATTTAGATAAATTCCCTGGTGAAAAGGTCAGTGAAAGGTTGACCTGAGTGATACTGAAAGCTCAGTATCACTGTGTGGAGAGACAGCTCCGGTCTGAGCTTAGGCTGTTGAGAGAAACAAATGAGTGAATGTTCCCAGAATGCCTGGTACATAGAAGTTGCTCAATAAATGTTGCTTTCCTTTGTCTTCCTTCAGACCAAGCTTTTGCCCCTCAGAATGCTGATTTGTGCTACTCACCCACCCACCCATCCATCCATTAGTTCATGCATTCATTCATTTGCAGAAACTTGTCAGGTTCCTGCCACGTATCACGAACTATGCTGAGTGCTAGGGATGTAGAAGTGACATTCTGCATGTTGACCATGATGAGAAATTATGAAAGGTCAGCTACAAAACTGTGTTCTCTGTGGAAACAGTTCTGCCCTCATCACATGCCTTGTGACTTGAACAATTCCTTGTCCCTCCAGGGAGGGCACTCCTTGTCCCTCAGTCTCCTCGCCCTGTAGGGTGACTGCAGACCCACACTCTGGGGTTCTGCATTGTGATGGACAGCTGTGCAGTCAAAACTCCCTCATGAGAGCCCTGAGCCTTGTAGCCCTTTTTGTCCATGCAGCTGTCACCCTCTACCCATAGGTGTGGAGCGTCCCCCCATAGACTTGGGGCCAGGCCCTCCACTGCTCTCCTGCTAGAGCAATCCTGAGCAGCCCCACTCCTGAACTGTTCCCCAGGCCATCTCCCTGACCCCCTGGGCTCCTGGCCTCTAGGTCCACACTCCCAAATTGCTCCTCCCCACCAGCACAAGGGTGTGTCCACTATGCACATCTGGAGACATCCACAACCTGTCATGATGGACAAAATGCCCATTTGACCCTTTTCTTTCACAAGCTTGCATTTAGGAGGCAGCCTTAGCAGCAAAGCTCATCCAGTTCACAGTGTATAAGAAAAAAGAATAAAAGCCACACAGTTAGGGACTAGAGAGAAGGGAGTGACACTATTTAGTTTAGGTGTGTGTATCATTTTGTACTTTACTCCACTCCTGGCTTAATAAGCTGTCTTCTATCCTGATCCTTAAGCACACATATTCATTCATTGAGCACTTGACAAGAGTAGCAAACATTCACTAAGCACCTACTCTTTACCACTTGACATGTCTGATGTTGTTTCCACATGGTAATTGTTCTGCAGGGGCATCCTGCCATTACTCTCTGCATCCCATGCCAAAGGTAAACAGGTAAGAAGCCCCGGACCCCATGCTGCTGCTTTTGCCACCTGGAATTGCTACAGCTCAGTTACAAAGTAGATTGATGATGGCTCAGAGAAACCTGTGCAGGGGTTGAAATTCATTCCCAACACTGAGAGACAGTACACACCCTCAGCTGTCATATTCATCCTTATTCAGCTCTCCGTGCTGTGATTTTAAATGCAAACAGAAAAGCCCTGCTCACCCACTGTGGGGCTGAACCCTTGAGACCAGAGCCGCATTTCATTCTCAGCAAACCCTGTGAAGTAGGAGTCTGTTTAATCTCCACTTCGTAGATGGGAAATTGAGGCTCTGAGAAGGCAAGTCAACACTCCAAGTGACATAACCTAGGAAGCTTGGTCAGAAATAGCAGCTCCAGTAACTGAGTGTCTTCTGGGTGCTGGGTGCGCTGCTGAGAGCCAGCATCCACTTTCTTTCTGTGATCCTCACGGCCACCCACCTCAGAGGTGGTGCCCACCTGGGTCACACAGCTGCGGGGCCAGGGCCAGAGCCCATGTTCCTAGAGGCCACAACTGAGGCACAATGGGCAGAGGGGCTCAGTGGAGGATGGGGGAGCCAGATGAAGGGCCTCATTGCCAAGTTTGAGGATATAGGAGTGGCAGGCGGCCAAGAAGAGCTGGGGGCTTTTCCCACTGAGGCTGCCAGAGCAATCAGAGCCTGGCATGTTCCTTGATAAGGCTGGCTCCCAGCTTCCCTGACAACTGATAGCACATCCTTCTCGCATTCTACCTGGGGACAAAATCCAGCGCTGACCCAGAGCCTTAACACTGCCAGCTCTGGGGTCTGTGTGCCTGGGCCAAGAATTCTGGAGGGAACTGATCCAGTCTGCCTGAGTGGAGCAGAAGACATGGTCAGTGAGGGACAGTGGCCAAACTGGCCAGTCCTCCCTTCCCTGTGGCAAGCCAGCAGCCTGCTCCCCAATGCAAAGCTCTCTGTCTGCTCCTTCCTTACCCGTTTTGCTCCATCTTTGTCACCCCCTCGCCCCTCTCCCCGTGTGCCTGTCATTCCTCAGCCCTGATCCCCTTGCCCACACACTCTGTCCCATCACTCCTAGTGAGTCTCCTGTAGTCCCTTGCTCAGTAACTTCCGCTGCACCCCATCACCTTCTGGACGGAGCGTAGCCTGGGTGCATTTCCTGTGGCTGCTGTAACAAAACCCCACTAACTGTAGGCTTAAAAAGAGCACACTTTTCTTCTATTGCAGTTTAAGAGTTTAAAAATCTGAAGGCTGTGTATTGGCAGAGCAGGTTCCTTCTGGAGGCTTCCAGGGAGCGTTCCTTCCCTCACCTTTTGCAACTTGTAGATGCCTCCCACACTCCTTGGCTCATGGCCCCTTTCTTGTGCTCACCACTCCAACCTCTCAGCTGTCACCACCTCTCCTCTACAGCTCAATGTCCCTCTGCCTCCCTCTTACACAGACACTTATGATTACATTGAGAGCTTACTATATATGGATATCCAAGATGATCCCCCCATCTCGAATTCCTTAGCTTAATCACCCCCACAGAGTCCCCTTTGCCACATAATATGCTCAGATCATAAGTGGCCCTATTTGGGGCTGTTCTGCCACATGTCCCAACTTGCTACCTGGCACTAAAGGACTTTCACAATTCAGTCCCTGACCACCTTCTTCTCCCATTTCCTGCCAGCATCCCAAGGCCCAAACCTACCTCCACCACCCTCTGTCCCAGCCAAAATAATGCACTCTGTTTATTCATTCAGAAGCATTTACCAAGCTAGATGTGATATGGTGGTACAGCTTTGTAGTCCCAGCACTTTGGGAGGCTGAGGAAGAATAGCAAGTGCCAGTCCAACTTGAATAACATAGGAAGACCCTGTCACAAAATAGAAATACTGTTAAAACCCCGGATTCCATTCCTAGTACTGGGGGGGGTGTGGAGATTTCCCAAGGATTCTCTAGACACCAGCACTGTTTGAGCAGCAGTGAGGCAGCAGAGCAAGCTTCTCTTACAGAGAAGCAGAGGTTCTGAGTGTGGTCCCTGGACTAGCAGCCACCTCCCAGAAGCAAAGCAGCTGGCATCAGGCCCCATTGCCTCAGTTATGGCAGAGCCAGGACTGGAGCCCAAGCCATCTGACTTTAAAGCCCCAGCCCTTTCCACAGTGAAATGTTGCTTGGACTTGAACTAGGCCCTGCCTTTGACCAACACCTCAATGCTAGTCCCATAGATAGCAGAAAGGGAAACCAAGGCACAGGGAGGCGAATGACCTGGTTGCATTGCAAAGAAAGCTAAGGGGTGGCTGGACCCCTGCCCAGTGCTCTTTAGGTTCATTTCCCACCCACTTTTTGCTCCCCACAATCTCCCAAGGCCCAGAGATAAGATTCATAAGCATCCAGCCTATCAGCAGCCCCTCCCAGCAGGCGTGTCACTTCCTCATTCCTGCAGAGCCCCTTGCTTGCTTGTAAAGGTTTGGATCTGCCCAGACATCTGGAGGATTGGAGCCTGACTGGGCACAGTGCCTCCTCCCTTCCCCTCCAACCTTCCACATGCCAAGGAGGCAGCCTCCAACCAGCTCCTGACTGGCCTTCACATTGGCTCTCTATGACCAGAGAAGACTTCCAAAAGTAAACCGGGCAATGCCCCATCCCTTCTGTTGTGATGAAATAAAATTCAAAGTCCTCATTCCAGCCTCTGAGGCTCTGCACCACCAGACTCCTGCCACTGTCCCAACCTCCTTTCATGCCCACACTTTGTCCCACCCACGTGACTTTCCCTCTGGATTCTATTTCATTTGTTTAATGTCTGTTCCTCCTAAACCATACGCTTCTGGAGGGCAGGCTCATGTCTCTGTTGCTTCCTACTATGTCCAGACACCTAATACTGAGCCCGTCTCCCTGCAGGTCCAGGGATATTGTTGAATGAGTGAATGCATGGATGTTCCAGGTCCCTGAGAATCCTAAGACGTGAACAAAATCTAAAAGAGGGAACTAAATCTCAAAGAGGGAAGTTCCAGGAACCCAGGAAGCGCTGAGAGACAATCAGTTCCCTTTTATGGGATGTGACACTGGCTTCCTACAGAAACTGACATCAGAGGCAGGCCTCCCAGCACCAGGCAGGGCCAGCTGTGAGTCACAGAGTTTGAGATGGAAAATGTCCAGCCACTCCCCCAGCTCTGTCACAAAGGGGTCCTAGAATAGCAAAGTCATGAGTGAAAGTAGCATGAAATGTGAGCTTTTCAGTGGGACTAGCATGTAGAGTTGTCCCAATCTGGACCATGTCCACTGGATCGCCAGTTTGGCCAAAAGTTGAGGGATGGGGAGGGAGAAACTGGCTTATCTTCTGCTTGGGGTCCAGTCTTGGAAGATGTGGCTGCCACATCTGCAGCATGACAGAAACACAGGTCTGATAAACACATTTCCCTAGAACAGCTCTTTCTCAGAAAGAAAGTTTCCTTTATGGCCGTGTTTACTCATTTCATCTGGCTTTCTAAACCAGTCTAACCTTTTAGCACATTGATTTCTGCACTTCTGAATAGCTTTTACAAGTGCTTTTTGCAGAGATACCGGGACAGTTCCCTCCCCCAAGACTCAGGGACATGGCTGGTCCCTGGTATCTGAGATCCTGGGGCTGCCTTATGAGTCGGAGGTTTTCATATCTGGCTTTTGTATCTAGCTGTCATGCCTCATACCACAAGGCTGCCTGGGGTGCTCTCCCAGAGTGTTGAAGATTAGGTAGACCCGTGATGATATGAGTCATGGTCTCTCCACTTACTACTTACATGATATTAGGCAAGTCATTCCAGTCTGACCTATAAAACAATGATGGTTATCTAACTTACTTTGTGGAGTTGTAAGAATAAAAGTGAAAAGTGAAGGCACTTAGCATACTTCTTGGTAGGTGGCAGGAAATTTAACAAATGTGAATTTCTGCTCTCTTCCTCTTTTTTCATTCTCTCTCACTCTCTCTTCCTCTCTCTCTCTCCCTTCCCCTGTCTCTCCCTCTTCCTCCCAGTCCCCCCTCTTTCCTTTCTTCTTTTAATAGTTCACACATTATACAATTCACCCATTTAAAGTATACAGGGAGGTGGTTCCTAGTATACTCAGTTATATAGTCATCATTACAATCCAGCCTGGAACTTTTCCTCACTCCCAGAAGAAACTCCAGCCCCTGTAGCTGGCCCTTTCCAGTTCCTGCCTTCCATCTCTACCCCTACCATGCAGAGGTAAGTGCTAATTTACTTTGTGCACCAGTTAATTTGGCAAGTCCCATCTGGACATCTCATACAATACATGATCTTTTGTGCCTGGCTTCTTTCACTTAGCTTCCTTCCTTCCTTCCTCCCTCCCTCCCTGCCTCCCTCCCCTCTCTCCCTTTCTTTCTTTCTTTTCTTTCCTTTCCTTCCTTCCTTCTTTCCTTCTCTCTTTCTCTCTCTCTCTCTCTCCCTTTCTTCCTGTCTTTCTTTCTTTTGTTCTTTCTTGTACCAGGAATCAAACTCAGAATCTTGCACTTGCCAGACAGGCTTAGTGCCACTGAGCTATATCCTGGCCCTAATCTTTTCAATGTTCTATATTTCTTCATTTTCCCCCATTCTTTTTGTGTTTACTTTCCTCCCCTTCCTCCCACCATGGCTCCATGTTCCCTTCACCAAGGCTTTTTGCTTTGTGGCACCTTTTGAACCCTGTGGGCCTTGAGTGGAGAATTACACCTATGAGACTGTGCCTTGGGCCACCCATACGGCCCAAGTGCCTCCTTCCCTTCCCGTTGGGCTCAGAATGATTCCTCTTTTGCACAGCTGCCAAGCAGAACAGAGGCTATGACCAGACATTAACCCATTCACCTTCTGTCTCTTCAGAGAGTTTGGGGAGTGAGATCCCCTCCTGCCCCCAGAGGAAGTCAGGGAAAGGAGAGCAGAGAGAGGAGGTGGGAAGCCCTTCACAGCCTCAAAGACAAGGAGACTAAATCGTGGCGCCCCCTGGAGTCACTGGAAAGGTAGAGAATTTCTTATTTACAGGTCTGGGGTTGGTGCCTTTGAGGCCAGCCGGAGGCCCTGGCTTGGAGCTGTAAGGTCCGTTTGGCTCCCAGAGTGCCCTTCCCCACTCTACACCTACCAGCTCCTGAGGATCAACGGACCAGCCCTCCTGGGCTGGGATGGGAGGGAAAGGAAACCATAGCTTCCAGGACGTCATCACTGTTATTTTGTACCCATAAGATAAAGGTACACATCCAGGGAAACAAGTGAAGAAAAGGCCCTTCCACCAGGGGACCTAACTGCAGAGCAACTGGCTGTGCCATGCATAGGAGGGATGGATCTCAGCCCCTCTGAGTCCCCTTTACCTGATACCTATGTGTGGAAAATAGCCAGTCCAATAACAGCCATGCCTCAGCTAATGGCTTCGTAGGCAACAACTGACCACATTATGATAGTGGACCCATAAGATTATAATGGAGCTCAAAAATTCCCATGGTCTAGTATTCTTGCTGTGCCTTTTCTATGTTTGGATGCACAAATACCATTGTATTGCAGTACAGTGCCTTGCTGTACAGGGTTGTAGCCTGGGAGCAATGGGCTGTCCCCTGAGCTTTAGTGTGTAGTAGGTGGCACCAGCTGGGTTTGTGTCAGTGCTCTCTGTGGTGGTTACACAACAGCAATACTGACAGATGATGCATTTCTCAGAATGTGTCCCTTTTGCTAAGTGACACGTGGCTATACTCAACTCTGCCACCACAGACAAGACCTCACTATGGCTGTGTTCTAATAAAACTTTATTTATGCATACTAAAGTTTGAGTTCCACAGTCATGAGTCGTGAAATGTTATTCTGCTATTTTTTTTTTAAACTTTGTTCAAGAAAAACAGGTGGCGGGCTAGATTTGGTTCATGGACTCATCATTTGCCAACCCGGGTGTAGGGGACAGAGACGGGTACCACTTCCAGCTTCTTGCTGTGTGACCTTGGGTAGGTGCCTTCCCCTCTCTGAACCTCAACTTGTTTATCTGCAAGTTGGGGCTAACAGTGGCTTCCTGGGAGGATTACAGTGAGATTTAGCACCAGTTTATGTAAAGTGCCTGGCAGAGAGTCAACTCCTATTAAATGGCAGCTTTTGTTATTTTTTCCTCTGTGGCTTCCTTGGAAAGGAGCAGCTGAAAAGTCTGAGGCAGGCTTTGTGGGTGTGCATCTCAGCTGTGCTACTCACTGACTCGAGTCACATCCTGACCCTGAATCTCGTGTCCCTCATCTGAAAATGGAGAACTTGGATTAGTCTCAAGGGACCATTCCAACACCAGCTATATATAAATGCTTAACAAAGAAGAGAAATTATGCCTACACCCCAACTGTGCTGTGTCAAGAGTCTTCTGGCAAGGACAGTGAAGAATGTGTTTTTCATACTAATGAATCTCTCAGAGTATGGAAGCAAATCCAGTAAAATGTGTCCTCATCATGCTTTCAGCTGCAGGTGCATGGCGGGGGCAGGCACTAGCGCAGACTGGACAGAGGGAAGATCAGTAGAGAGATCCCAACTTTGGGGCCAGAGGACCTTCCCCGGAGGGGAAGTGTGACCTTCAGAAGGTCACATCTCTCTCCAAGTTCTAATTTCCTCATCAGTAACACAGAGCTAAAAATTCTGACTGCCGTCTCTGCCCCTAAACATGCAGCTGCTGTTGAACACAGCAGCTATTTTTGGCAGAGTGTCGAGGGGCTGGAATGAAGTGTGCCCGAGGCCCACTAGATGCGGCAGGGTGTCTATAGCTCCCGAGGCTCTCCTGGGATGGAAGGGCCACTCCCTGCACCTGGAGATAGGGTGAGGATGAGGCGGTCCCAACTGCCAAAGTCACCAAGCCATCAGTTTGTTCACTAATCCATGCCAAAAGAGGTGCTAGGGAAAACCCACAGCCTGGGCATCACAGGTCCACAGCCCTTCTTTCCGGGACTGAGCATGTACTGTCACCACCCAGGCACTGACACTCAGGCTTGGTGGCAGGCCTCTTCTACAGAACTAGAAAGTGGGGTGTTCAGAAAACTTAGTCATTGCTGAAAAGGAATACGTCGCAGAAAGGCACAGTCAAACCTCATTCTTTTCGCCACCTCCTATGATGCTGAAGTTTTTCTGTCCTTGTTCAGGTGCACATGTGGCCTTACAGCTGTGGTGACAAGAGAATGCACACAGTCTGTGCCCTGCCCACCCCATCCTTCACAGAGAGTGTGGGCTCCTAGGCAGGCTGCAGGCTGTGTTTGTGGCTGCTGACTCTCCCCTGATTCATCCTCTCATTCTTCCTTTCTTTACCCAGCTCCCAAGAAAAGGGAAGCTCCCAGTACTGATCTGCTCAAAACTCAGAAACCGAGTTCCCTAGGTGGTCAGCTGCTGGCCAGGGGCCTTACTTCCTCTGTCTGACATCATGTCCTGTGCTGATCCTGTCACACCTTCCCAGCACAGGGAAAGGGCCAATTGAGTCAATGTCTGTGCCCCAAGAAGATGCTCAGAGCGTGCACACAGGCACAGGTGAGAGAGCTTCCTCCCTGCTACTCAGGAAGCTCACAGACCACTGTTTCACAGATGGAGAGAAAACATGAATTTCCTGGGTCAGAGGAACTCAGTCACTTCTAGTTGGAAACCCAGTGACTCCGGAAGTGAAAAGAGTCTATACAGGACTCGCCCAGCTCCTCACTTCCTCCTTCCCTCTGGGGTAAGTTTCCCAGCCTATTTGGGCCACTCCAGACCTATCCTGTAGGCTTCTCTGCCCAGGCATTTCTGGGCCCAGGAGTCCTGTCTTGCTGCCCCTGGCCTCTCCCTGCACTGAGAATCAATCACAGCCTCCCAGGGGCCTTGGCCTATGCTGCAGGCTCCTAACCCCCATCCCCACCCTGACACCCGTAGAAGGTAGTCCCAGCTATGTGCTAGGACTCACTGTAGGAGCTCCTGTACCCTCTGTGGGAGCGGAGGAATGAGGGTCCAGGGACAGCAATGAGGCCTCCTCTCTGCTATTTCTGTTTCCCAGAAGACCCATACCCTTCCAAGCAGTGTTGTTCTGTCCTACCAGGCAGAAAGTGGAGTTCAAGGCTCTGTGCTCTGAGCACCCCAAAATCATCCTCTAGTCACCCACTTTCAATCAGGCTTTTGATCCCAAGGGAGATGGGCAGGCTAGAGATCCACCCCAGCCTCTACCTCTCAGCCCCCTGCATCTTCCCCACTGTGCCTGCTCCTCCCTGGGTAGAGGGACTCTGAGCTCCAGGTCCTTGAAACTCTAGTGCACTTTGATGTCTCTGCCCACACCTGTGGGCTTCAGCTACCTCTCCACCTGCCTGTGGTGTCTGCCTCAGACTGGGATCTGCTAGTGGGGCAGACCAACAAGGGTAGGGGCAAGGCTCCCCTCATCGTCTCAAAGTAGTGTCCTGGGCCGCCCCACCCGAGAAGCACCTCACACCCAGCCCAGCACATTCACTCACTGCCTGGTCAGGGCAACTAGTGAGCCTCGATTGGTAACGGCTGAGCCCCAGTCAGGCCACCTGGGAGCTGATGCCCGTGGGCACATTACTTAACCTTTCCATGCTTTGATTTCTTCTTCCATAAGATGGGAATGATACTCGTACCCACTCCAAAAATTGTTGTAAGGGTTAAAGGAGAGGGTAAATACAGATAGTGTCTGTCACCTGAGGAACTCCCAGTGACCACCAGCTAGCATGCAAGCGGGTGTATGAAGGGCCCCAGAATTGGCTGAAATGTTTCCCTGCCATACGTTACAATTGCCTTTGCATTTGTTTTGCCATTGTGCAGTTCTCTATTGGACATCTCGGTGTAGAGACCATTCAGATTTCTTTCAGATTATTTTCCTAGAAACTGAATTTCTGGAAACAGAATTGCTAGCCAAAAGGAAGGGATATTTTAGGCCCTTTGTTCCATTTTGTCTGTTTTCAGGACAGGCTGTAGGGGCCTCCCTTCCACCAGCAAAATCTGCAGGTGTCACTTCCTTGAAGCCATATGAGCAGTAGGGTCCTGGAAGTGTCAGAAGTGTGGCTGACTAGGGCAGAGGGTACAGGCCACAAGGAGAAGAGGCCACTGGCATTTAAAGATGTGCAGAGGGTTCCAGGTTAAGGGGACAAGAGTCTTTGAAGGAGCTAAACAAGAAGCATCTGAGGGGAGAAATGCTGTCCCTTATCCAAGGCCTAAGCCTCCGGAGTCTGGTGGTCAGGAGGAGCTCAAAACAGAGACCAGTAAGACAGTTGCAGAAGCTGAGCCAGGATACAGCATCCAGCAAGGCTGGAGTGGGCCCTGATGCTACAGCTCACTGCTAGATGACTAAATGAAAGGCCTCTCCAAGCCTCAGTTTCTCCATGTATGGAGCAGGTATGATGCTTTGCCTGTCTCCCAGGAATGGATGAACAGGTGATGGGCATAGAATTTAGGAATTTCCCTGGGTACTTTGGGTTCTTTTGCCAGAAGCATCCACTGGCATGAATGAACAGGAACTATGAGATTTCCTTCAGTTTAAAAAATATTTCATTTTCAAGAACAGACTGGTGAAGTGGACAGGTCTCAAGAAGTGGTTTTTGAAAAGTTTGAGAAATAGGGCAGGGTGAGCACAAGGTCGGGACTGGTAAGACCTGAGTATGAACCAAATCCCAGAGAGGACTGGCATCAAGCAGCACCCTCTGAGCTCTGTTCTCTTTATTGCAAGGGGTTGATGGGCAGGGACCCTCCACCTTTGTAGTTGGGCTGACCTGTGCTTGCTGAGAACTGTATGCCTCATTCACTGTGAGCCTTTGCCAAAGCAACTGAAGAGCTTTGAGCCTTGAATCAGCACCTGTTAGAGTCAACATTATAAATACATGATATATGGATGATGTCAAAGTCAAGTGAGATTGAAGAGGTTAAGTGCCTGATCCATGAGCCTGCCCAGTATTTTATGATTCAGCATTTCGAGCTCAGCAGGAAGAAATGGATGCCATGGAGATGGGAGGGGCTGATCAGGAAGTAGAACTCACCAACCCTTCACTTCTTTTTCAAGCATCATGCCCAATGTGCAGCAACATATCCAGCACCGACTTCCTGGCTGTGTAGCCTTGGGCAAGTTTCCCCATTCTTTGGCCTCCTTTTCTTCCTGTATAAAATGAGGAGAATGATAGTGCCTACCCCAGAGGATCAGTGTGAGAATTAATGGGGTTAAAATATATATAAAATGCTGATGGCCAGGCTTGGCATGCAGGAGGTGTCAGTGATGGTAGCTTTTCTGTGATTGTGCTCCCGGCTCCATGCACAGGGCTTGGATCTAGCATGTGGTGGTGAAGCCCTTTCCTCCACTCACCAGCTGTGTGCCCTAGCCAGATCACTGACCCCATGATGGGCCGGTCCTACATGTGCAAGACATAGGAGGTGTGCCCACTCACAGGGCTGCTGGCAGAGCCCCAGGCCAAGCACAATACGTGTTCAACATTGGTATGGAATCATATTCTTGACCTACGGTTTTATATTCACAAGCACACTCATAAGCATTGTTCAGACCTACTCCTCACAGCTTCCCAGTGGTTACCTTGACAGAGGGTGTGTTAGCTTTACATTGTTATGGCAAAATACCTGAGATAATCAATTTAAAAGGAAGGAATTTGGGCTCATGGTTTCAGAGGTACTAGTTTGTGGTTGGTTGACTCTATTGCTCTTGGGTCTGTGGCAGCACAGCAAATCCTGGGTTGTGTGAGTGCATGGTAGAAAAAAGCTATTCATCTTATGGGTCCCAATATCCCCTTGAAGGACTCACCCCCAATGACCTAATGTCCTCCCATAAATCTCACCTCCTACAGGTTCTACCACTTCCCAACAGGGCCATGGCTCCAACACTGAGCCTTTGGAGAACATTCAAGATCCACATTACAGCAGAGGTGAAAGAAATGCACCTTGGGCACTTACTGCCCCAAGCAGCCATAAAATCCTAGAGATGTGCCAGTTCACACCATAGACTGAGACTGTCTCTTGGTCAGTTTCTAACATTCTCCTTCTCCAGAGCCTTCAGTGGCTCTCCAGTGCCTGCCAGATTATAACCAAGACTCCTCCACCAAGACCAACTGGTTATGGCTATAGAATCTCTTTTTGCCCCCTATTCCTCTGCAGCTAAGAGGAGTTTGTCCAGCTAAACTACTCCATCCCTATTCTAAGCGCACAAGCCTCATTTCATGCTATTCCCTCTGCCCAAAAAGCCTCTTCACAGCCCCAAACACTGCCATTAAACTGCCACTCACTGCATCAGTCCCGACCCAAATGCCAACTGCTCCAGGCACCTGAACAGGGAAAGCTTCTGTGCCACACAGTCCTAATAACACACACTCACTCATACTCAGAGGCACACACATCCACACACACGCTGGCAATATACTCTTTTGTGCGTGCATACTTATCCATATGAGTATGTTCGTACATATGCACACACATTCCCACTCCCTCTTGCTCACTTTTAGACTCATGTCAGCACAAACATGTAGTTTTGTTTTTATACTACAGCAACTGAACCAGGCATATTATTACCTATAAATTACTGGAGACCAGAACCCTGCCCAGATTTTCTTTTTGTCTTTGTTATCATCTCTATCAAATTCAATGAATCTGCCCCTGTGAGAAGCAGCACACTACAGTGGGAAGTGTGTTTGGAGTCAGATGGCTTGAGCTTGGCTGCTTAGTACCTGGGGCATGTCTCACCCACCTGGAACCTTAGTTCCATGAGCGGTGAAATCCAAACACATACAGCACTTGCCTTGGAGTACCACTGGGGTGTTTAAATAGAAAAAGGGTGCAGAAAATTTGGCATAGAATCACAGGAAACGTTGCTTCTTGCCAATCATTTAATCATTCACCAGCACAATTCACGGATGCCTACTAGAGTACAGCCAACCTCCCTTCCTACCCTCTCCCGGTCTGATCCTAACCTAGGGCCCACAAGTGTTAAGGGATGTGTATCCTGAGAAATCCCTAACAAAACCTCCTTCATGGGCATAAAGCTTTCAGACTCCCACAATCTATTTCTCCTTCTATGAGAATAAATAAAAAGGTAGCAGCTATTGCCTCTGATCACAAGTGCCAAGGAGTTTCAAGGAGACTTTCTTAGATAAATTTGACCTTATTTGCACAAATACAAACCCAGGGTATTTCCAAAACTTGCAGAAAGTCTTTGCCCAATTTGTTCACACTAGCTTGCTAAGGACAGAACACCAGCTCCCCTGGGTGACTTCTGATTAGGTGGCATCTCTGTTAATCATACCTGCCCTGCCCTGCCCTTGCCCCTTTACTCCTTCAAAGCAGATCCTAGTGGCAGGCAAATGCCCTGTGTCTTTTCCAGAAAATCATGAGAAGTCCATGAAAAATAAATCATTCCCAAGCAGAAGGCCAAAGTTTAGTCATTTCAATTTACCATAAACAAATTGGTTTACGGTAGAAAATAAAAGGTTAAGAAGAGAATAGTGGACTCTGGATAAGTCAGTGTCCTGAAATTTCTGTGCCATGAGGTATTTTAAAACAATCAAAAAAGAGGTGTGAGGAGGGGGGGGTGAAGGGAGGGCAGGGGTAAGGGGGAAAAATGAGAATCAATACTTGTCATGTGGAGGTACAAGATCCCAACAATGAATGTAACTGTACTGTATCCCTAAAATGTACCAATAAACTCAGTTAAAGCTGGGGAAAAAAAAAGAGGTGTGAGCTGGAATAGAGGATCACCCTGGATTTTAGCAGAATTAAGGCATTGAAAATGACCGCTCATGCATGTGGCTGTTCTGAAGACCTGTGGTGTCACTTCCCTTGGTGACCACCTCCACTTTGGCTTCCCCATGAAGGAAACACCATTTCCTAGTGACCCAGTTCCCAGGATGTAGGTGAAACTGACCCTCTGAGTCTGGTGGTTCTCCCTGTACTCCTGGATACAGGATAAGCAGGAATCTGCCCAGAACCTCAGCACTCAGAACCCACTTGTCAAGTTTCAATGACCCTGAGGGACAAAGCCCCCAATGCTGTAACCTGTGCAGAAACAGAGGTGGAGGAGGTGAAGGAGGACCCCTTGGAATGTCAAAGATTTCACTTCTACAACCTCATCTTAGTTTCAACATCCCCATTCACAGCTAGGGCAAGGGATTAGGAAGGGGGCAAAACTGTCTGAGACCCAACAGCAGGGGAATGAGAAGGAATCAAATCCACAGTCAGAGCTCCTGGTTCCAAACCTCACACCTCCCAACTGCCCCCAGCACATCTGACACTTGCTGAAATGGCAAATGCCCCTCTCTGTTTCTCCCAGGGTTTCTGTCCACAATTTCTTCCAGGCTAGTGGTGAGCAGGTAGATGTAGAAAGCAGGCCAGAACATAAGGGCTGCTTACGTGAGCCAGGGAATATCTTCTGTTTCTTCCATCTATGAATTAAGGAAGTCAGAAGATGGACCATCACTATCTAAACTGAGGTTTATGGGGGCTTCCATTCACTAGCTCACCAAAAGGACCACCTACTAAACTTGAACTATGTTGGAAGATGAAAAATCCAATGCCTGCTTTTATGGCACTTCCTTTGGTCCGGATATCAGACAAATGAACTGACAGCCAAGCCAGGGAGATAAGTGCCTTAGCAGAGGGGCAGTAGAGGAAGCCAGTCATCCCAGGAGACCTCAGAGACAGCTGTGCAGAGAAGGTGATGTCTGGACAACCTTGAAACTGTAGAAGTTGAAAATCAAAGAAAGCATTAAAGGAATGTTAGGCAATGGGAATAACACCTGCAAGGGCACACATGCATGAAATAGTATGGTAACAGTGGAGGGCAATAGGAATGAGCACTGGCCTTCATGATCTGCAGTCCTTATAATAGTCTTGTGGGGTCGCTATAATTAACTTTTCCACAGGGGTGAAAACTAAGGTTCAGAAAGGACTCGAGCAAGCCTTCTCAGATTAACACTGATATTGGAGCCTGTCCCCTGCTGGCTGAACATATTATAATGCCCTCAATGCAAAAATCAGAGTCTGATGCAAATAACACTTATTTAAAGATATTATTAGACTGGATGGAGTTAACTACAAATAGCCAAAATCCAGTTAAAAAAGCATAGGGTTGATGAGGATAGGTAATTGACTCAGAACAGAAGAGTCTGAGAGTTGCTTCAAGCACGGCTGACCCAAATGCTCTAATTGCCACCAGGACTTTGTATTTCTCTAGCTTTCAGCAAAGAAAGTTGACATCATTCTTTATCAGACCGTTCCATGAGGCAACCAGAAAGTTCAAGTTTATGTCTATTTTTGCAGACTCAATGGCAAAGGAGGTCCCTTTTTGCTGTTCCAACACACAGTGCCAGGCAAGCATTTCATTGGCTGGCTTTTGTCATGGGCCTACCTCAAAATCAACTGTCATGAACGCAGCACTAGAGCCAGGGAAAAGGGAAAGAGGTCAAGTTCACCTCATCCAATGAGCAAAACGTGGGAAGGTTGGATCTCGAAGGAGAATCAAGGTGTTGTTACCAGGAGAAGGGGAAATGATGATGGAAAGGCGAAAAGAAAGGGCAAGTATCTACGATAATCCTGACAGGCACCATCTTCTTCTGTTCTCTCCTAGAGCCTCACAAACACCCTCATCTCCAAGTGAGGGCTGAGGACAATAATGGGCCATGAGGCCACAAAGGGGCTTGAGGAGTATTAAGCATACCAGTATCTCAACACATATATAAGAGGTGACCAAAAAGAGTCAGGGAATGTTTGAAATTTTACAAAGATGTATTACAGTAGAAGGCAATAGTATCATTCATCCCCCTCAAAATAGTCTCCCTCACACTTATCCCACCATCTCTGCCACTTTCTGAAGCAGTTCTGGAAGTCCTTTTCTTTGAGTATCTTTACAAGGTATGATCAAATATTTAGCAAATGCTGCTGCCAAATGCCATCCCACAGAAAGGCAGGCTGTGAAAACATTGCAGTGTGTCCTTACCCACCTTATTCACTGGATCTAGCACCATGAAACCCGTGACTCTTCCCCAAAGTCAAAATGACCACGAATAGTAAACACTGTAAATCTATTCAGCACATCAGGACAGCTACAACAGAGCAACTAAAGATATTCACGAAGAGGACTTCCAGAACTGCTTCAGAAAGTGGCAAGAATGATATAATAAGCATATTTGAAGCAAGAGGAGAGTATTTTGAGGATGATTAATGGCAATGTGTAATAATTTTTTCAAATTTAAACATTCACCTTATCTTTCAGCCATACTTCATATAACAGAATCCAGGCAGTGGGGAAATTTCAGGTTGGTGTCTCAACCAGCTTACATTTGGCACAGGTGGTCAGCTAGGCAAAGGAGAGAGGGGAACCATGCCATCTGACTTTTTTGGGGGGGTATCAGCGATCGAACTCGGGACCTTGCACTTACAAAACAGGCAGCAGAACCACTAAGCTAAGTCCCCAGCCCTACCATCTGATTTTTAAAAGTTAAATATGCATGTTTAAATGCCCTGGGTAATCATTTTTAAAAAATAAAGGCAACAATTCCATATAGTGTAGTGGAAAGTCAATGAAGATTAAAAAGGTCAATTTAAAACAAAGCAAAAAAGTGGGACAAATTTTGAAAAGGTGTGACAAACATAAAACACAAAAATAGATGTAAGAAATAAATGAAAATACATCTGTAATTTCGGTGAATGCAAATGGCATAAACTGGCTAATGAATATATTAAGGTGGTCAGATTTGGCGTTAAAACCAAAACAAATGCTTTCATAAGAGATGGATAGACTATAAGGAAAACAAGGTACTGAAAATATAAGGAAATAAAAAGGATATACTAGGTGCTATATACAAATACTAACCAAAAGAAAAACAGGTAACTATATTAATATCAAAGTGAATCTTAAGCAAAATATATTATTAAGATGGCCACCTTATTTTAATAGAAGAGGAAATAATAATAATTCTAAACTTGTATATACCAAATAACTTAGCCTTAAAAAATATGTTAAGGTGACAGAACTACAAGGAGAAATGAACAAATCACTATAGTATAAAATGGGTAATGTACTGCTGTTGTATTTGAAGATCAAGTATATAAAATCAATAAGGAAATATAATATTTTGAAAAGACAAAAAATTTTTAATTTAATGAAAGATAAAACACTCTAACAACTGAGAATACTTATTCCTTTCAAATATAGTAGGACACTCTAAAAATTGTGTAATAGAATAAGGAGCAAATACCAACATATTTCAAAAAATTATCTGCATGGAGAATAATTCTCTAGCTACAACAAAATTAAATAACAACAAAATCTTCACATACATATCTGCAAACACATTTCTTAGTAAATCATGGATGAATAAAAAATACTTAAGACTATTAGGAAATATTTTCAAATAAACAGTGAAAATACTGCACAGCAAAATTTAGAGTCTGCTTCCAAAGCTCTATTCAAAGAGGGAATATATAGCCTTAAATGTTCATACTTTAAAATAAATTTGAATTGTAATGATCTACCATCCAATTCAGAAAGTTAAAAAGAACAACAAAATAAGCTGAAAGAAAGATAAAGGAAGAAAACAGTGGAGTAGATATAACAGCAAAAATTAATGACAGGAAACAAAAAAAATATTTCTTTTTTGTGGTGCCAGAGATTGAACTCGGGACCTTACACTTGGAGGATGAAACAAATATTTAATAAAGAGAAAAGCAACAAACCAAAAAGTTAGAGTTGGGCACCCGGGCCTTGTGCCTGTAACCCCAGCTACTCAGGAGAGTAAGGTAGGAGGATTGCAAGTCTCTGAAGTATGTGTATGTGTTTGATAGCATCTCTGTGGATGACTATTGTATTTTGTAAAGTAATGATTGAATTGACATGTAACAAAAGAATATGTCCCAGGCCGGACACGGTGGCGCACACCTGTAATCCCAGCACTTGGGAGGCTGAAGCAGGAGGATCACTGTGAGTTCGAGACCAGCCTGGGCTACATAGTGAGTTCCAGGTCAGTCTCAACTATACAGTGAGACCCTGTTGCAAAAAACCAAAAAAAAACAAAGAATATGTCCCATTACAGGAATTATTTGAGATGTTTGTTTTCTTTTTATTAATCTTTATGGTCTGCATTTTGCAGTGAATATGCAATATTTCCAAAATAGTAGTAAGTGGTGTTTAAACCCCTCAGAAGAAGGAGGGTAGTTATTTCCCAGCCTCAGGGTAGCTTTTTTTTGGATAATTTTACTAATTTCCATGAGAATAATTTCTTAGAGCCACCAGCTCCATCTGGAGTGTTAACCCAAGGGAAGATATCTGTCTGCATAGTCAAATATGCACACTGCTAATGCAGAAAAGGCTACTTGGAGCCTCTGAGAGGCCAGACTGTGACCTTGAAGTGAAAGTTGGGTGCTCTGCAAAGGGAGGAACAGCTGATCCCTCAGGAGAGCTTGGGTCACACCAGAGCCTGCAGCAGTGGGATGTGGCCACACACTGAAGGTACCTCGGGGGCTGGCTGTGGCCTTGCTCTCAAAGCCCTACAGAGTCAGGCTTTCAAATCCATAGCT